CAAACTTGCGTCGCTGAACGTGTTTTAAATGCGAGGCCAAACAAGTTGGCGGCGGAGCCCCCGGTTACACTTAGTTAAAACTATTCTCTGTATGGGACATTTTCTCTGTTTTAACAATAGTCTATAAATTAATGACTAACTCAGAAACTAGATTTGCTAAACGGCGATTTCCAACAAATACACGCGCATATTCATCCGTGTGTCTGCAAACACTAAAAAAAAAACTAATTTTTTTAAATACATCAAGCTTTGCCATTAGTGGCTGGACTAAAAGTCCTTTTGCTGGACTCAGGTCGGTCACTTTTATACGGGATACCTCAAAGTGCCAGGTCTATTGTTCGTTCAGTCTCTCTTTTATGGGGGGAAACACACACGAAGTTCAATGAAAACAAGCACAGTAAAGGTAGTGAGAACATGTCGACTTTACACGAGCCAGGGCTGCAACTGCACAATTCCCAACATGTGGTTGTTAGTTTAGTTTAGAAAAGAAACTAGTGATGTTTAAAACCTGAACTCTCAGTTTGAAAAGGACCCACACGAGAGTAAACAAGAATGAGATAATTGCATTGCTTCGTTTTTTTTTTGCAAAGAAAACGTGCCGGTCATTGTGTTATAATTATATATTTCAATAGTGCGTCCGTGTAAAACCCAAAGCAGCTTTTTAAGCTGGTAAAAGCTCTGAAAAGGTCTTACTTGTACCGTCGGGCTCGGCGTCCTCTCCGGATAACAGGGATCCCGAAACTTAGTCCGAATCGCAGGACAAGCCCGTGTCGGGACGCTGATGTCCGCCTTTTCTCTTTTTTAGTCAGTCAGGAGTTTCTTCAGCGGGGGGAGAAAACAGTGTTTCGATTGCAAATGAAATCAGTTTAACTTGGCAATCTAGGGGCCACGCGATTTGTTTTCGTTCAGCTATTCATTTCGGAAGAGGCTGATAAAAATGGGACTGTCCGTGCCAACGGCTTGTCTAAGAGCGGACTCTTCCGTTCGCTCGTCCGGCTCTCTAACATCCCATCGCCGGCGCTTCCAAAGTGCCTCTCGGTGACTTTATCAAAAGCAACAGGTGTCAGGAGAACCCTGCGAGACGCCGCCGTGTTCCGTGCGAGCCGGACCTATTCGCCCTGTCAGCAGGGGCGTGCGGCTCGGCGCTGGCAAAGAGCGCAATATTCCAAATTGATAATAATAAATATATTCCCCTTCTCTACAGCACTGGAGCAGCCGACCTCGTACAAAGAGATCACCGCCGCAGTTTGCGGATCAGCTCCTCAATGACTCGTCTTAAGTTCATCTGAAGTTGCGTGGAAGCGAGTCAAACCCTCCCGCGAAACTTTAAAAACTCCTACGTAAACTTTTTTTTCCTCCCCTTTTACGGTCTCCTCATTGTATATAAATCACGCAGAAATCTATACAAACTATTTAAAAAGAAAAGTGTAAGAGACGAGCGCCTGAGCTGATCTAATCCGGAGCAGCCGGGTTCCGCGCCGAGGATCCTGACTAGGGGCCGAGCGATCGCCCGGCTTGTCCGCCCTCCGCCGAACGGGCTTGAGCAGTCGGGGAAGCCGAGGTACCTGAGGGAGCCCCAGGAGCGAGCGTGCGCACACGGGCGAACTTCATGACAACTTGGGGGGGGATCTCCTTAAAATGGCAGCGCACCGTCAGACTTTCTTTGGTAGCATTTCTCCCCCTAAAAATGTCACCGCATCTGTGTACCAGGATTTCTCTCTGCATTAAGAAGCCTGTCGCATGGGAGCCGTCGAAAAGTGCTTTTAACAGCAAATGCCATATTGTATGTAAAGGGTACCCTACTTTATTACCCTACTTTTGGCAGTAAATAAAGTTACATATTACAGTACATTCTTGTATTCACATTCTTTTAATGATTTTATTGAAATATTATAGTATTTTTCTATAAATAGCATCTTAATTTTTCTCAAATCCAGTGTAATATTCCCTGTGGTTACAGATATAAATGCGTGAGTAATGAATTTTCATATAGGCTAAAGAATGAAAACGAAAGATATATCATTAGTACAAAATACGGTGAAATGCAGAAGTTGCCAGTGTGTCCTGTTGAACACTGACTACTCCAAACCAGGTAACAGCTTACAGTAGGCAAACTCAGTGTGACCTATACACTATACTGCAAGTACTTTGAGAACAGTGACCAGGTTTCATAAGGTTTAACGATGATCTGGTTGTGCTCTCAACTAAATGGACAAAACAGGCAGTTCCAAGATTCTCCGGACAGCAGACCCCGCATAATCTAGATGGTCTAGTAAATCGGACATGAGAAAGAACAAATTCTGCATGACTGATGTGGTACCTTTGTGATCAAAAAAACAAAAAACAAATTTGTATTAAGATTCTCCTGGGAACATGAATGATATACTACACCGTAACATCAGAGCCGACCAAGTTATTTGCCCCTTGAACCTGTAATACAAACTCCATCCCTCTTGTGTCTGAACACATTGCTTATGTTCTGGTTTGGACCAGAAGGAGAGTGAATGAGGCAATATGTGTGTGTGTGTGTGTGTGTGTAGTGGGGGGGGGGGGGGGGGGGGGGTTGAAGATTGCGGCACAGGTGTAAAAATCATATCAGTTCATGCAAACCTGTCAGTCAAAGGAGGCAGATAGGGCCCCCCCTCCCCTGTGTGAGGCTAAACAGACGTCCAGCCTGGGACCTTGACATCATTCCCTTTCTCGCAGCTCACGTTTCCACGTGCAACAGTTCCGGAACGTTCTCCCGTTAGACCTGCGCTTGGAATTCATTCAGACTCATCGGCCATTGAAAATATTGTTCCGTTAGTTTATTTTCTCCGTTGACCGGCTGCACAGCTTCACCCTCAGCCATGGTTCGGACGTCAGCCCGGGGACCCTGCGCCTTCATTGAGGGAGACTGATTCTTCTCGAATGGACTTTTTCATTTTCCTTCTGGGAGTATGTTGTTTGAAGATGCGGGAGAGCCCACCCTCCAAAAACCTGTCAGAATTAACGTCGCTGCGACTTTCCTGCTTCCCCTCTCATTTAACCACACGCCTGTTCAAGGTCCAATTTGGATTGGAACCCGGTCCCTGCCCTGTTAGTAGATACCACCTTGGGGACAGATGTGGACTGTGGTCCAGATTCTGTTCCTGCTCCCTGTGTCTGCTTACCCGACAGCAGCCTCGATGGTGATAATGTAATGTGTCAGGTTTAGAGTGTAACAGCGTTTGGGTGATAACATGTACCAACTGCAGGAGTGATTAACGCAGGAACGGCATTGGCGTGCTGACGGTGTTGAAGGTGTTCTCTCCGTGCGAGCCAAGTTAAAAAGTCATATTATTCTAGATACGTCCTGTTGGATTCCTACCCATGATTCCTTCTGCCTCTCGCCGTTCTCCATCACGCCATCCGCAGCTTTTTATAAGCACTAGAAATTTCAGGCCGTAATTCTCAGCAATGAAAGGTAACACTCTGATTAAAAACTCATTAAGGGAAAAAAAATATTTTTAAAAAGGGCCATCTCTCCAAGCTTCAAGTTTTCCAAATATGGGTACAGTGTTATTTTAGGATTCCGTTCCCCCCCCCCCCCGCAATCAGTGTGTTTTTGGCGGCCGTGACTGAAACCGCACCGTTTCATGCCCACACCCGCTCCTCCTTGTTGCACGCAGAGACGCCGTTTGCCTCTCAGACCCTCAGCACACATGCAGCTCATTGGACATAAAATAAAATAAAATAAGAGGAGAGGGGCCGCTCTTAGGGACATGGTCAGTGCCGCACTAAGCCCAATGGGGGGTGTCACTGGATCAGGTTTGGGGGAAATCACATGACCAGCCCAAGTGGAAGCCCACAGATGCTCTAGACCTTGGGATGATGGGGAAGCGGTGGCTCGAATTCAGAGGTTTCTGGATCAGAACCACACTTGGGGCTAGGCCTCCGTGGGGGGGGGATACTTGGAAATTTGCACATTTGCACGGTGGCATTTCTTATCCCATGTATAAACTTGCACTTCTTATAACTGGGTCAAAATTGCGGTCGTTTTTTTTTTTTTTTTTTTGCCTTTTTTCCCTTTCTCCTCTCTGGCTGTCTTGCATCCTTTTTCTCTCACCACACTGCTCTAAAACTGCACCTATATTAAGAGACAATGATAACCACACTGGCAACGCACCCCCCCAAATCCCCCATCCCGGAAACGGCAGGCATCTATAGTGGGACGCAAACCAATTAACCTGCCGTGCAGCCTTTCTGCACCTGACCTGGAGCCGCTGGTGGTTCGACTCTCACTGGAAGGTGAGAAACAGCCTATTTTTAGAGTTGTGGCGTTGTCATGGTGAGGGTTCGTGAAGGCTGAGGAAATTCCGTAGCACGTTTGGTATGGGGTGGTAAAGAGACCAGCTCACCGAAATGGCATTTCTTCCTGGCCACACACTGACCACTCTGCAGCTGTGGACGATGCATCGAAGGTCATGTCATGCCTCAATCTGGACTACGTCACTCCCTATTTTCTGTGGCCGTGAAGAGCGTGGTTCCTTCTGAGAACGTGGGAGAGGTTCAGCTGGGCATTACGCATTACCGGCCTCCAGCATCACGGTGCTTTGTCAGGTCCGACACAATCGGTCAGCTGATTGGCGACGAAACAGAAGCCCACGGCTGCAGGCATTTTATTTTTAGTTGCAGAGATGACGTTTTTATCCGTGTAAAACGCTGCCTATTTCACTGGAGAAATTATGGTCATGTCCCCAGTGGGATTCGAACCAGCCACCATAAGGTTTCACATCAGCACCCTGTCAAACGTCAGGCCACCATCGACAACCACGGACGCCACACATTCGAGCAGCGGCTAGCTTAGCCCGCGTGTCCCAGAATCTGCAGAGAAAGGACCCGCTGCAATGGTGACGACTACAGACATTGGCAGGTGACAGCAAGCGAACCAAAGCCCTCCGTTACCTGTACTCAACGGACATACTGTATCTCCATCATGATGAGTGCACACTGAGTGTGTAGTAAAGCCACAAAAAGGATGAAAAGGCTGATAATGTAGTGTTTATATATATATACAAAGGCAAAAAATGAATACAATGTCTTTTTTTACAGAAATCGCCAGCGTTTTTTTTCCCCAACACAGATGAATAAAAGGCAGTACATTTCATTTTTCAAAATTGAAAATAACAACCCAGAACAAAAATTTGTTTCGAAGTTTGAATTTTTTCCCTTACTCTATTTAATAAAGGGGAAAGGGGTGCCCAACCACCACCGTGTTTCTGGGATGCTGTATAAAAAAGTAGACTTAAAAAAATGGACCCGTTCAAATCCAGGAGAGATGATGTCGATGTTAAGGGTCTGGGGATGAGGAGGGTGACTCTGGTCCATTTGTGGCCAGGACTCAAGGAGAGGAACACAACCACTTGAAGTGGGGTACTGCCGTTGCTGAATGGACCCCAAAATTGTGTCAGACATAGCAATTCCGGCATTGTTTACATGTGCTGACTGACTCAGATCACAACATGGTAAGCATGAGCTGAATTCAGAGGCTGTTGTTTATAATAATGTTCTATGTAAGCTGGCACATTCTAAATCTCTCATTTGATAAATATTCAACTTCTCACCTTTGGTTCAGACCTGAAGGACGCTGAATGTTAAAAACAAACCGATATAATGAGACGGGCTGTGCAATATTTTATTTTATCCAGGGCAAAATAAAACTTTAGAATGATGCAAATGATGATCAGAGACAGATTTGGAGCTGTTTAGTAAGGAAACATTTTACAGCTGGGAGCTGAAAGATTCCAAAGTCCATTATCACACATGAAATTTCAGTTAAAAAAAAAAAAAAATACATGGTGTCAAAAAAATCAGTTTTACCCCACAAATATTAGTGGGCTATTAAACTGATCATCTGTCCAAATGACTTCAATGCTTAACATTGAATGTGTTTACGACCATGGTAACATTACTGAAACTGGTGAGTCTAAATATGGAGGCCGCATGCTTGACAGAGCGATGATGTAATACCGGTTATCAGTTTGGCAGTTTCAGAGTCATGGATGGGGGGACATCCTGGGGGTCGGGGGGGAGCAAGGTAGGCATACTGACCAATAACCGTCATAGTATGACATCACAGTCTGTCAGTAAAGGTCTTGGCATTAGTTTAACCCTATAGAAACACAGTGCTGGTGGGGTGGGACTCCCTGGATAGACACACATGTCGCTGATTAAAAAAAACACACCGCAGTCTCAAGAGTCACACACACATTATGAACAGGCTGCAAAACACAAAAAAAAAATCCGAAATTCAGATACCGAGTACAGAGTAACAGTACTTTTTTTAACCACATGGTAACGGTTTTAGGATCTTTGTGTTAACACCTTGTTTTGACACGTAACAGTTTTCTGACACCTATTATTGTTTTATTCGTTCACTTCTTTTAAAGACACAAGAGAGCGATTGCGAGCCATTTTGTTCAGAAATATCTTTTCTTTCCCCTTGGACATTTTGTGCAAAAAACATTATTTTCAACTATGTCTATCCATCTATGTCGTTTATATAAATATATACTTCTGTCTATGCATATGTATACTTTATAACATTACTGTCTGGGATAGCTGGCAGTCTGCACTCCACCTGAACGCTTCGGACGTAGATACGAGACAAGTGTGTGAGCACCTGCCGCAAGCCCAGACAGAGACAGAACACAGCGACCTCACAGAAACGCCCCGCCAGGAAAGTGGAGGACGAAAATAAACAGGACCGAGAGAGACGACAGAACACCCAGAATCGACGTAGACCATAAACACAGACAACAAGTTTACGGCTTTTTTTGTTTTGTTTTTTTTTTTTCTTCAAAGCACAAATATTACAACATCCTTTTTTAATTCAGCTTACATAAAGTGTTTTGAATATGGACTCACCTATGGTGGCGGTGATGTCACATGTCATGTGACCAAGGGCACTCTCTCTCTCTCCTGTGCTTGCATAAACATTCTCTCTCATAAATACGGGAATTCAATGTGACGCAGAACAACAACAAAAAGAAAACGGGACCCTCATCCGATCTCCCCTCTCCATGTAATGTAGCACCAGAGACATGGGACTTATCCTCTGCTGACCCTCTTTTCTCCATGCCATCCCCTGTCCATTAATAATCTGCTTCATAGTACCCCTTTACCCATAAACAATTAAGAAGAAACAACCATATTTTGGGAAAGACAGCACAACAACAGACCACCAAAGGTGTTTTTTTTTCCTCGCTATGTGAAAGCGGATCGCCTGCAAGCACCCTGAGAGGGTCATGTGGCTGTGGTGAAGACCATGAATGGAGAGCTTCAGGAGAACATCCTGTACGTGGGACACGTTCCCGGCACAGGTGAGGCGTGGGCAATGGGGTGTGTGAGTGTGTGAGCCCAGCCGAGCCAGCTGAGCGGCCCTGGCATGGCCGAGTCACGTCAACCTGCCCCGGCAGGAACCGCAATCCAGGAGAAAAGCATTTTTATCACCATTCCTTCTAGTGGCAAGAGCTAGCAACGGAATAAGGAAGCAGCGTGAAGTCGTGCAAAGGCAACTATAAAAAGGTAAACCGATAAAGACGAAAGCCCTCATTAAACTTGCCGATAAGTCAGTCGCTGCCAGACTACACATGACACGCGAGGAGAGAGCTGCGGGGGCAAGTAGCAGCAGCCACGAGGTGCCGAACTCTGCCCCTCAACCAGGGTTCAGGAGGCCGGGGCAATCAGGCATTACGAGTGGAGTACAGATCCACTGCCTGGCCCTGTCTGGGCCGTGAGACAGCAACAGCTGAGTACAGATCTGCTAGCTGACCCTTTCTCGGTCCAAAGACAGCAACAGCAGAGAACACATCCACTGCCTGACCCTGTCTGGGCCCTAAGACAATACCAGCTGAGCACAGATCCACTGCCTGACCCTGTCTGGCCCGTGAGCCGACAACAGCCAAATACAGATCTGCTGGCTGACCCTGTCTGGGCTGCAAGACAATACCAGTTGAGCACAGATCTACTGAATGACCCTGTCTGGGCCATAAGGCAACAATGATAATTTTAGATCCACCATGTGACCCTGTCCTCCAAAGAGTCCCAGGCAGGGGACACCATCTTCAGCCACGACTCAAAGACACTTGGAGGCAGTGAATCATCAACTCTCCCTAAACATTTAACACCCAAAACAGCAAGAAACAAACATAACCTTTGACAGTACGCATCATAGTCAATCTTGGAAGCGTAAAACGAGAACTCAAGTCACAGCACACCGGCGTACATAAAAAATGCATGCAGGTGGAGGGGCAGCGTCCAGCGTGTGGTGGTGCAGACTACGGACTACGGCCAACGCGCCGTTTGGGGAAACATGCTGCCTTTCAGCCTGTGACTCATTCTGCATCACCTAATGCTGGAGCCACACTATGGACTTTCTCCAGCGATCCTAGCACACGTCTCCTGCCCCTTTCCCTGGTTCAAATCTTTGTGCTTATCTGTACTTGTGCTAGTCTGTGTTTGCTGTGCTGAGCCGAGCTGACCCTCATGATAGGGACCGCGCCTCCAATTCTAGCTCATCGGAGAGGGGCCTGTCCAAAACAGAGAGACCCACCTCACAACCGGCCCGCTACACCTCCATCCTGAGCGTGAGACGCAGCTGCCCCTCCCACTTACAGAAGGTTCAGCATAACCCTACCTCAGAAACAGAGGGGTGGGATCAAAAGCTCAAGCCCCTCTGTTTAGTGGGAGTCCTGGTACCTCACACTGTCCCTATGGTGGTAGCACCTCCATGATGGCTCACTGAGATACAGGTAGGGTCTTGGGGTAAGCCTCACCTCTTCCTGTGACATCACTTCCTGTGAGATGTAGAGCTGGGCAGTAAATAGCTTTTTTGCCTCGCATAGGTGGAACATAGTTTAGACAAATCCAATTAGAGAACCAATATTAGTGTCTTAACTCCAAGAACTAAAGCAACTTCATGCAGCGTCTTTAGGGGCAGAACCCTCTGTAAACAAGAAATGACCTGCAACAGAATGCAAGTTTGCAAACAGCACGGCTAATTGTCCAAAGTAGTGACAAGTAGTTAATAATTAGTTAAGTCTATAGTGTATGAGGAAAATCTTCTGCAAATTACCAGCTAGTGTTAAATCATACGGTTATATTTTGAAAGCAGTAAAGTGATACTAGATACAACAGAGACAAAAAACATAGCAGCAAAAAAGTCTAAATCAAAGGCAATGGTGTGTGACTTTCAAAGTCAAGTGAAGCTGTGAGTTTGCAGTTAAACGAACCGAACCAATCAGTACATTTATACCGTTCATACTTAGAACAGAACTTTGTATGCAGACCTTAAAGGCAGTTTCAGTGACTTGCACTGGGGATGCTTTGTAACCACATTGCTGAGCTGATCATTCTCATGCTCAATAAAAGTTCATACTCATTTCAGAAATAATCCCCGTCTACACACACGTGGGGCCTCTGTCCTATCCTTTAACGGGCTACGGTTGGAGGGAAAAGTGTACGAGACTGTTCCTGAATCTGAAAGCCCCTCCAAAGCCTTTAACTTATACCGCTTTCCACCAACTCAGCGGCCTGCTGTGTTTGCTAAAGTAACAAGACACCGCAGACAAAAAAAAAGTATTCAACTCTTTTCAACCATTTTCAACATCCTGCAATTATAAGGTCATTGTGCTGTCTCAATATCAAATGTCTCACACCTCCCCCACCCCAAGCACACAAAAAAAACTCCATCCCCAAAATGTGGTCTTTTCAAAGAGGCATGCAAGAGTGTAAGAACACATTTTGGGCAGCTGTTGGGTGACCCGAGCGGAGATCGGTTACAGTAATCTGAAAGGGGGGGGGGCTCCTAGCCTTCCGCGTCGCCTGTGCTTCCTTGGTGCTGGACCCGGCTGATATGCATGTCCTACACCATGAAGTAAACAACCACACAACAGATGGAGGGGGGGGGGGGCACTGGAGCCACAGACGTAGGTGAGGATGTCGGTTTGAGTTGCTGAGGCTGGCAGAGTCAGACAGATTCCTCCTGTTGGTCTAGGTACCTGTTCTTCTTGGGCTGATTTATTTTTTAATTTTTTTTGCTTCCTGGAGGACTGGGAGGTCAAAGGTCAAAGGCCGCAGAGAACTCCTTGAGGGAAGCCGGCATGGTGGACTGGTGGTGGTGGTGGTGGTGGTGGTGGGGGGGGGGCAGAGGTTGAGGAAGGGAGCGTGAGCACGTTGGAGGGGGGGCGTGAGACAACGAAGTGATGAGGTGTGGGAGCCCGCAGGTGGGGTCAGGAGGACTCCTCCAGGGCATTTACCACCTGCTCCAGGATATCTGGGCAGTGGTCTGCAATCTGCTGCAGGACAGAGTTGGCATATTCCTGTAGCTCTGCGCTTTCCTGCTCGCACCTCTCCAGCTCGCCCTCCAGCTGCGAGAGAGAGAGAGAGAGAGAAAGAGAGAGAGAGTGTCATCACGGTTCCACATTCCCCTCAAGCTGTGCAGATATGTTTACATCACAAAAACGGAGCCTGCAAACACCAGGGAGCACGTGCGGGGCTCCCTTACTCTGACAGCAGGGTGGCCAGAAACTCACTGCCTGCCCTGTGGATCACAGAGCCCAAAATGGCACGGAGGACTGAACAAAAGACCCAGAAGGGGCAGCCCAGGTGTGGCCAGAGCGCCCCCACAATGCCATCTGGCGTGAGGGTGCTTGCTGCGGCTTCCTGCAGACCACAGACGGCAATCTCACGCTCATTTTCAGAAATACTCAGGTTTTAGGTATTCAGCAGCTAATTTAACACCACCCTCCCATCCTCCCACCCTCCCATCCCCCCAACAGCCCAAAACAAACCACCAACCAACAGATTTCTACAACGTACAGCTTGCATGTACAGATGCAGTAGGGAGAGGGGGGTGGACCAGATAGCCAGTGAACGAATGACTCTCTTCGCATTCTGAGCTCCTCGAACTGCAAGCTCTGGTCAGAGAAGCATCGGGGGCTGTGCTACTCCGGTGGTCCTGCTCAGGCCTTACATGCTACATGCTCTGAGCCCAAGGAAAACACGCACGTCTTCCTCTCAAAAGATAAAAAGACGAGGAGCCAAAAGCGGGAAATTACCGCACTACAGATTCCTGACTTAACGATAATCACAGATAGATTTTTCAGCATCCCGGGATTTTTAAAGATTTGGGATGATATAAAAGAGTGATTAGAGTCGGGAGTCGGAGCTCGCATGGGCGGATGACGACATCCATTCGCACAGCCACGCCGGGCGGTTAAATTTACAGCCAGGAAGCTGAGGGTTGGGGCTGAGGGACCGCAACCTGTTTGGGTTCTCAAGAAACTGCATAGACTCTCCATAAACATGTCCTCCCCTAAAGCTATCACTCTGACAGCCGGGGTGAGGTATGGTGGCAGTGCGGGGGGAAAGCGCGAGAGAGATTTAAAAGGCCGACGTGACCGTTTTAGGTCCCGGACAAATCGATGCGTCTCCATGCGGCCCCCGGACGGTCCCTGCAGAAACCCCCCGCAGGCACCTTTTCCCCGCCCTCACAGCCTGCTTTCACTGATACGGTTTTGCTGTGTTGGTCAAACGAAATTGCTTTTCAAATCCGAACGTCGGCCAGGCATCCAAAAACCATAGCTCCCTGCTCCTAGTGAGCAGAATATTTCAGAGCCCACAAAATTATTTTCTTTGGCTTTCGGATGTTAAAATGTCAGATTTAACAAGGTTAATGTTAAAGACATCTGTAACAATAACCGGAGGTCATATTCCCATATTTGAAAACATCCACCTCTTTTATACGTTTTATGTAGGCTTGGATCACACGGCAGTTCCGTAATTAATAATAAAAAAATAAAAAACAAGCGGAAGATCCAGCCGGCAGGAATAATCGTCAGCTGGGTGTTATTCGTGGGGAATGGTCGGTGGCTGGGTGCATGTAGAATACGGCTCCCTCACACCTGTGACATACGACGGGAACTCCACGCTCTGACGGCTAATGCTCACGGGGGACTCGCTGCAGGAGGCGCACTGGGAAGTCTTTTCCATTTTAAAAGGGGGTTTCGGGCAAAAAAGCAGGTGAGGTCTTCAGCAGCCGACCTCCCCCCCCCCCCCCAAGCAACCTAGGAGGGATGTCCTCCAGTGAGCGCAATTCAGAAGATATGTTATTAAAAAAAAACAGCAAAAGCTTTTCTTAAGCTGAATCATGTGTGGTAGGTAATGGGGCTTGTCCATCCTGATGTATGACACCTTATACAGAGTTTTTAAAAAGGGGGGGTGGGGGGGAATGCCCTCCCTTCCCGTTAGCATCTGACATCCATTAGTGCAGATTCCTGGGGAGAATGGGGCAGCCTGGGGCTGGCGTTGTACCCACACGGTAACAGTCATCCTTCTTACCTCTGTGGGTTTAAGACAATACACACATGCACAGCTAAAATCACAACGTGTTTACGTCGCACGGCCTGTTCATACTGCACTGTCTACGTATTTATTTTCATAATTGTACTCATATTTAATGTCTTACTGAAGCACATTAATTTGCATTTGTGTTTAATGCGAGTTTACTGGTGCTGCAGCATGCAGAGTAAGACTTTACATCTCTGATTTCAGGATTTTATTGTTGTAAAGGTCGAGCTATCCCCTGAGTATAATGTTCACAGTGTAGGTGCTTCCTACAGCCTTAACGGCAGGAGAAGCCCAAGAACAAAGAACAGCAGCAGACCAAAGAGAGGACTGGGCATTCTTCCTAGCCGGGCGGTGCTGACCACGCCCCCGGTCGGTGCTGACCACGCCCTCTGTCAGTGCTGACCACTCCCCTCCAATTCTCCATCCTTCTCTGTCTTAGTTCTCCACCTTGGTCGCTGAGATATGATGGAGGTGTAATGGTGAGCTGGAGAAGCCAGGGGGTGGAGGAAAACCGTGACTACGACAACGGGCAGTTGCCGGGGGGGTGGGGGGTAATCCCGTACGAAGAGGGCTGTCACGTGAGGGACATGGACAGCCATGTCTGCTGTGTAAAGGTACAGGACCCTGTAATTGTCACCATGATGCTGAACGCCATTACGGACACCGCTGGGGCCGGGTAGCATTCTAGTATCTTCTAAAGGACCATCCACCATCTTTTCTATCACCATATATCACCATCTTAATTCCCACAGCATCCCATGATCTCACCTTTGCTCTCCTTCTATGATCTTGTGTTTTTTTTTTTTACTGAAAGAGGAAATCGACAGATGGTGGAAATAAAGAGAGAAGGAGTTGAGATTTCCCACCCAGCTCGGTCATCTGAGGCCGAGGCCCGGTCTGGGGGGGTGGAGGCTGTGCGTCGCCCCCCCCCCCCATCCCCGCTGCCAGGAGGGGGCACAGCTGTGAAAGCCATCACACCATAAATCCAATACATTTGCATAAAATCTCCTTCCAAAATGTGAACATTGTGTTTTATTTTGAGAGCAAACAATGAGTCCTAAAGGGAAAAGATCCTTTTTTCCTGAAATGTACAATTAAGAGCTTCATCTTCTGAGAGCCCCCAAGGCATAAACTATTTTGTAAAAAGACAATAAATAACCCCCCAGTTGGCCATTCTTCTGCCCCCACCAACCAAACGCCACAGACTGAGCTCATTCTTATGCCCTTAAACCAACACCGCACCCCCCCCCCTCTCCAAACCCAGAATCCTCTCTTGCTTGCCAGGCGCTCTATACTTATTACTGTTCCGTGTGCAGTTTGGCGTCCAATGCCCCCAGCCCCCCCGCCATGTCCACACTCTGTAACAACATCACAGCCTCCCTGGCGACGGCCTCAGAAGTTCCCCCAGCCGGACTGGCCAATGGTCTGAGTTACCTCACTGGGAAGTGACTCTCCTCTGGTAATGGGTGTCACCATAAACCCCCCACCCCTCCCCCCTCATCTTGGGGGTGGTCGATTTCTTCCTTGTTTTGCACCTAATAAACTGAAGCAGCGGGGGGGGGGGGGGGGGCAAAAAAGGGGGGCCCCCCCCCCCCAGACACGCCAGTGCGGTGTCCCCCCCCCCAGACACGCCAGTGCGGTGTCTCCCTGGCACCCATCCAGCACAGGACAGGCTTTCCCCACTGCGGCTGAGAACCTCCTCATACTGCTGAGCAAAGTCAGTGTGGCTCTTCTGGGAGGCTTTGGGCCCCCCCGACACCACCGCCCCCCACCACCAGTCATTCCCACTATAATTTCAAATCTCAAAATACAATCTAGGGGCTGCCTCTTAAAACCATGCAGCCAAGGTCGCCTAGTCCCCCCCCCCCCGGCTCCGGGCCCCGTCTCTGCGGCCCCTCCGCTGAGCAGAACCCTCTTAATGATTTTCTTTCCCCCCTCCCCTAATTGCTTGGCCGTCTCTCCACACTTCCGTGGGCCGCACCACTGATCTCAATCGGCGTTCTCGTGGGAGGGGGGAAACTTCTCCACGTCGATACGCTCCAGGTGCAAGCTTGTATAAACACCCCCACAGGCCATTTCTAACGCCGACGCCTGATTACGGGACTCAAGTTCCATCTGAAATGCATAAATAAATACGGTCGGCACTCCACACACGACGCGGGCCGGACCTGGCCGGGTATCCCGGTGTCACCCGGACGAGCCGAAGCCTCTTCAACCCGCTTTCACGTCTGGAACGGCGATCTGCAGCCAAAAAGCAGGCCCTCGGTGGAACTGGCCGGCTGAGAAAGTCAGAACCATGATCAAAAAGGAGTTTGAAATAAGTTCTTGCACACGCCCACCACAAGAAGATTAAAGGGAAAAAAAGCGATTTTGTTATTCCTTGTATACATTTTTGAATGTCTCTGCCAACGGCTATGTACAAACTTGGTCTGGATTCTTATGATGAAGCTAGAGAGATATACTGATGTCTGGTGATCAGTCAAGCGTTAGCAGACTGGGAATGTCCCCCCCTCCCCTTCCTCCGTGACCCCCCCTCCCCCAGCACGTCACTTTCAAACCAGGCATCACCAAACTGCCACAGAATAAGGAATATGTTCTTTATGTGTTTTATTGAAATAATAATAATAAAAAAAATTACTAGACTTTGTCATTTACAGTACAGTGCAGAAGACTTAGGCAGTCAAAAAAATGGTTTAGATGATCATGTTTGTGAAAAAATAAATGTGTGTCAGCATAACTATTTAAAAATCTCTCCTAAAACCAGCCCAGGGTTTCCCATAACCATCCAATACAGCCACGTATTTTTGACTTGACCACTAGCAGACCTCATACGGGTCATCAATACCTCACTAACTTTTAAAACTCAGTTTAGTTAATTACGTGAGCTGGTGATGAAATTTAACAAATACATGGAATGGCTGAGGTGCCCCTGAGGGGGGGTTTGGGAACTGAAGCGCTGTTCATCTAGCCATCCAGCGAGATATCAGTGACTTTCTGGAGAACAGAAGAAATCCATGCT